ATTCTTTTCTAATTCTTTTTAATATTTTTCTCAATAAGATTTTTTCATATATCACATGACATGAACAGAGACACATTTTGAAACTAACTAATATTTCTAAGTTCTATTTCAATTAAAAGCATTCTTTATTGGAAATATCATAAAAATTATATATTATGTATTATATTTTTTATAAAATAGCTTTTATTGTAAATATTATTATTGTAAATATTTATCGTGTATTACGTTTAATCAATACTACAAGATCTGCTGTTTGTTTCCTCTGCTCCTGTTTTTCTTGGCGATCACTAAAAGCTTTAAGGATCAACGCCCTTCTATCTTTTATCGTAAAACAAGTTATAAGAAGAAATTCTTCTTTTATATAAGATATATTTCTGAAATGCTATTACTCTGGATTTTGTCTCCACTGAAAGCTTTAGAAGATTATCACTCTTTTATTTCGAAATGAAACTTCGACAAGAATTCAATTATATGTGCATTTATCCTACGAAATCATATTTCACAAAAAAATTTTATCACACAGAATTTTTTTATATGATCAAGATCTTGTAAGATTAAAACAGAACTCCTTTAAATTCCGTAATGACAATAAAATATAACTGTATCTCTTTTGCACATCCTCACGATAGGCTCATTCAAGCGACAATATGTCTAATAGATAAGTAAAGTTTAATTATTTTAACGGTAAATTAAATTATACTCTTTTCTGTACATCGCTGTACGATTAGATATTCTAGAATTGGTGCAATTGAGTGAGATCTGAACGTCGCGTGAGAGTTACGCTCAAGTAGTTGAATGGATAATGTCATGAAGAAACACGGCCTCCTCTCCTTCGAGTTTCTCGCCGAGTTTTCGGTACATCTGCTAAGCGCATTACAGGATAAAGAGGAGTTTCTCATCTTACTACTGATGTTCGTCGAGCGTACGCTTTACAAGGGATTTCTTCGCCCTTACGCCTCAATCGTATTACATATTACACACCACTTCCTTATAATTAATAACCTATTTTATGACACATCGCCGTAAGTCCGAACGCAAACGGTTTTTCTTGTTCTTTAAGATTTTTATCAAGCTTTCAAAAGAGTAAAATTGTTTTTATCATTAATATTGCTTCAACTTTCTTCAACGAGTATTTTATTTCCGATAATTCACGCGATAATAAATTTGATGAATTGAAAAGTTCAGAAATATTACTTATGAAATAATTAATAAAAATCTTTTTACGACAGTTTTCATTTCAGAATATCTGACGCGTTTATTATTCACATCGCGAAGACTGAGAAAAGCTTTTCGCGAAGTACCCTTTCGTTGATAAATCAGACATTTTCCGAAAAGCGCGACAAAGTACTCGGGACATCCATTTCGTCGAATTCGTCGGATGGTAGAGAGCCGTGGAAAAGGTGTTTTCTGGTGGCACATTCCCGAGCGGGCGTCGTGTGATAAAACGCACAATATTTCCCTATCACGTAAATGCGGCCGACTGGAATAAATTAAGCGTCCTCGCAAATTTTCGGAAATGCCGGCGGAGGGTCATGTGAAATAATGAAGAGCTACAGCAACATTAACATTCTATATTGCCAGAAAGAGAAAGGCGGCTGTCGTAACCGCACTGCGCGTGGTTAGCGCGTGCTGTATCCGGAAATAGCAGAGAGCGAAAAACGTGCTCGTGCAGCTCAACCGTGAATAATCACCGTGCAAATCCCTCACGATTTATACCTTGTTTCGTATTCCCGCCGTCCTTTGCGCGACAAGTAGGTCCATTCAAGTTTGATAAGTAACTACCAGACTTGTTATGATAACTTGCTCTACTTTCGTTGGAACGGCAAAAAGCAGTGGCAATGTACATAAAGTTCACATATAAATGCCTAGTAAAAGAAGAATTAACAATAAGAAAAAAAATTGTTCATTTTGTCTATCGAATGCTTCAGGCAAATGAGAGAAATGATAAAAAATAATAAATCTTCGTTTCAAATTAATTTCAGATATTAAAGATGATTTCTCAATCTTAATCTTCCATCGGCAATGTGACATTTTCACCCTCTGTTTATAATCTGAGTCTTCGAATTTCAGTGCAGATTTTTATATTGATCCGGACTGTACAAAAATTAAAAAAAATTGTTACATACTTGTAAAAGCTTTAATTACAAATTTTTACTATTATGGTTGGACTTATATTTCATTCAAAGTAATTGGTATCCAATAATCGTCACATTAACCAAAATGCTTGTCTTTGCAAATTTATATTTTTCAAATTGAAAAGTGAGTGACTATCATTTTAGGTTATTTTAAATCAATTTTTTGACGAAAAACATCATTCTAATTTTTATACCTACTTATTGAGAAAATCCTTCGTAAAAATTAGAAGACGCAAATGTACGAGTTATCACCATGCCGCCATAACGATTTATCCAATAATCGTTATAGGTCCCACAAATACGTGTTTAACTATCGCAT